CCGGTTCCCCCCCCGGTAGACCCCCTCCCCCCCTCAGGTTCCTGCCCCCTCAGGTGTGTCCCAGGTAGACGCCGTTGACCCGGTCGAGGTTACTGGTGACTCTGGTGCTGCTGCGGGTGCTGAGCCTGGGGGTGCTGACTCTGGGGGTGCTGTGCGCGGGGGTGCTGAGCCTGGGGGTGCTACTGCTGGGGGTGCTGGGCCTGAGGGTGCTACTGCGGAGGGTGCGGAGCCTGGGGGTGCAGAGCCGGGGGGTGCTGTGCCTGGAGGTGCTGGGTCTGGGGGTGCTGGGTCGGGAGCTGCTGAGCCTGGGGGTGCTGAGCTGGGAGCTGCTGCGCCTGGGGGTGCTGCGTCTGGAGCTGCTGAGCCTGGGGTTTCTCCTGCTGCTGCGTCTCGCCGGGAGCCCCTCTCTCCACAGGAGCTGCGCGAGTGGTTCGCTCGCCGCTGGAGGCGTGCTGCTGAGTCTGGAGGTGCTGCTGGAGCTGGGGCTGGAGCTTCTTCGACCGTCGAGGGTGCGGGTGCTGCCGGTCCCGGAGCTGCTGGACCTGCGGGTCCTCCTGGAGCTGGAGCTGCTGAGGGCGTTCGTGCTGAGCCTGCTGCTGTTGGTCCTGCCGCTGGAGGTGTGGGTGGCGCTGGTGCTGTCGCTGAGGGTGCTGGTGCTGTCCCTGCTGAGTCTGGAGCTGCCGCGCGGCCTCGGTCGTACTTCGTTCCGCTCCTGCAGCAGGTTCTTGGTCTTTTTCCTCCAGTAGAGGGTCCACCGCCTGTCCAGTCGCAGTCCCTGCTGGAGCCTTCCTCTCCACTGCCTGCTCCCTCTCCTTACACTGGTCCTACTGGAGGTCTTGCTGAGCGTCGTGAGCCTGCGTCTCGTCCCGCGTCGCCTGTTCGTGCTGCTCGCGCTAGTGGTCGCAGTTCGCGTCAGCGTCCTCCTCCTGTCCCTGGCACGCACCGGATGTCTTTACGTCCGTCCACTGCTCCTCTGCGTGCCCCTTTGCCTTCTCCTCCTGAGTCTTCTCTTCCTGCGCTTGCCGACCCTGAGTCGGACTCTCTTCGTGCTGCCAGTCCTACTGTCACGCGTCTGCTTGCTACTGTCGTCACTGACCCCTCTTTTGAGTCCACTGCTGCGTCTGCTCTAGTCGCTGAGCTCGTCGACTTTGCTGCTCGCTGTCGTCTCGACTACGCTGCTAGTCTTGTTGCTGAGTCTGCGTCTGTCTGTCCTCCGTCCGTCGGGGGTGAGTGTGCTCTTGGCACGGACGTCCTAGAGGACAGGCAGGAGGAGTTACAGTGTCTAGCGGCTGCTTCACCTCATCTCGCGTCTGTACTGCTTGCCCCTGAGGGAGACCCGGATGCACTAGACATCCCGACTCCGCGTTCTTACGCGGAGGCCGTAGAGGGTCCCTACTCCTCTCAGTGGCAGGCAGCTATGGATGCAGAGATGGCTTCCTGGAAGTCCACAGGCACCTACGTTGACGCGGTTCCCCCTCCTGGGGCGAACATCGTCAGTGGCATGTGGATCTTCAGGGTGAAGCGGCCGCCGGGCTCTCCACCTGTCTTCAAGGCACGGTACGTTGCTCGTGGCTTCAGTCAGCGGCAGGGAGTTGACTACTTTCAGACCTTCTCTCCCACCCCGAAGATGACTACTCTTCGGGTGCTGCTGCACATAGCCGCTCAGCGCGACTACGAGCTTCACTCTCTCGACTTGAGCACTGCGTTCTTGCAGGGTAGCCTGCACGAGGAGATCTGGCTTCGCCGTCCACCTGGCTTCACTGGGACTTTCCCTCCTGGCACCCAGTGGAGCCTCCGACGGCCAGTCTACGGTCTCCGCCAGGCACCGCGTGAGTGGCACGACACACTGAGGACTACGCTTGCGGCTCTTGGGTTTGCTCCTTCTACTGCTGACCCGTCGCTGTTTCTTCGCACCGACACTTCCCTGCCGCCGTTCTACATCCTCGTGTACGTCGACGACTTGGTCTTTGCCACAGCGGACACTGCTGGACTCGCCTACGTGAAGTCCGAGCTGCTGAAGAGACACACGTGCACAGACCTGGGTGAACTGCGCAGCTACCTTGGCTTGCAGATCACTCGGGACAGAGCACGCCGCACCATTACCTTGACTCAGTCACACATGGTGCAGCAGGTCCTTCAGCGCTTCGGCTTCACGTACTCCTCGCCTCAGGCCACTCCTCTGCCTACTCGCCACTCACTCTCAGCTCTGCCTTCGGATGAGTCCGTAGAGTCGAGTGGTCCGTATGCAGAACTTGTTGGCTGCCTCATGTACCTGATGACCTGCACACGACCTGACCTTGCATACCCTCTGAGCATTCTTGCACGCTATGTTGCTCCTGGGAGACACAGACCGGAGCACATGGCTGCAGCGAAGAGGGTATTGCGCTACCTGTGCAGTACGTCGGGCATGGGGCTAGTGCTTGGAGGGCGGAGTCCAGTGGTCCTTACCGGCCACGCGGACGCTTCTTGGGCTGACGACCAGGCTACGCAGCGGTCGTCACAGGGTTACACCTTCAGTCTTGGTTCCGGCTCTGTCTCGTGGCGGTCTACTCGCTCGTCTTCGGTTCTCGGCTCCAGTTGTGAGGCTGAGATCTACGCCGGGGCCATGGCTGCACAGGAGCTTCGCTGGCTCACCTACCTGCTGACTGACCTTGGAGAGCCGCCTCGTTCTCCTCCAGTGCTGTACGTAGACAACAAGGCCATGCTGGCCTTGTGTCGAGAGCAGCGCTTGGAGCACAGAACGAAGCACATTGCTCTCCGCTACTTCCTTGCTCGTGAGCTGCAGCAGCGTGGTCAGTTGCGACTTGCGTACGTGGCCTCTGAGGCCAACACTGCTGATGTGTTCACCAAGGCACTCGCGCCTTGTGACCATCAGCGCTTTTGCACCCAGCTGGGTCTTGTGCCTGTCTTGCCTCACTTGCTCTCCTCTTGACTTCACTTGTACTGTGACATATATATATGCCTGCTCTTGCTTGTCTAGTTTTATATATATGTCTGTACTCCTGCATGTGAACTGGCCTCTGGCCCTACTCTTGTGCTCGGACTGTGTGGTGACTTTGTGATCCACCCTGAGCTTGCCTTGCTTTGCTTGACTGGTCTTGTGACCCCTTGTTCTCCCCCACTTTGCCTATGGGGGTGTGTCAGATTTATATGACATAGTTGCTGTAGGCTATAGTGGGGTAGCACATATGGGGTACAGGTTCTCTAGGGTTGTATTTGTACCCAATCTTTCCTTAGTCATTTCATTCCTGTTTTCTTTACTTCACAAGTTCTCCTCCGACCTCTTGGCAGCCTACTGTGCTGAGCACGGCATTGAGCAGTCGTTCACGCTTCCGGCTTCTCCACAGCAGAATGGGGTTGCGGAGCGCCGCATTGGCCTGGTCATGGAGGTCGCCCGTACCTCCTTGATCCATGCGGCTGCCCCCCACTTTCTGTGGCCGTTTGCAGTCCGGTACGCTGCGCATCAGCTCAACCTCTGGCCCCGTGTCTCCTTGCCGGAGACCTCGCCCACGCTGCTGTGGACGGGGGAGGTTGGCGATGTGTTGCGTTTCCGGGTCTGGGGGTCTCGAGCTTTTGTCTGCGATACGTCTGCGGACAAGCTCTCCTCCCATGCTGTTCCCTGCGTCTTCCTCGGCTTTGTCCCGGACGCGTCTGGTTGGCAGTTTTACCACGCCACCTCGCGACGGGTCTTGCCCTCCCAGGACGTTACTTTTGACGAGTCTGTCCCCTACTACCGCCTCTTCCCCTACCGCACTGCCCCGCTCCCCCCCCCGCCTCTCTTCCTCGCGCCAGGTGCTGCTGTTGCAGACCCCCTCCCCCCTCAGGGTGCCGCTCCCTCAGGTGTGTCTCAGGTAGACCCGGTTGAGCCTGTTGAGGTAGCTGTCGACTCTCATCCTGCTGGGGGTGCTGAGGCTGGGGGTGCTGAGCCTGGGGGTGCTGAGCCTGGCGATGTGGAGCCTGGGGGTGTGGAGCCTGGGGGTGTGGAGCCTGGGGGTGTCGAGCCTGGGGGTGTGGAGCTTGGGGGTGCTGAGCTTGGGGGTGTGGAGCCTCGTGGTGCTAAGCTGCAGAGTCCGGAGTCTGGGGGTTCTGGGTCTGGAGGTTCTGGGCCTGGGAGTCCTGCACCTGGAGGAGCCCTCTCCTCGGAGCAGCTGCGTGCATGGTACTTAGAGTACTGCAGCCTCCGGAGAGGTACCGCTCGAGCCGGACGTCCTGCTGGGACTGGTGCTAGTGCTTCTTCTCCCGTTAGGGAGCTCCCCTCCCGCGAGCGGATCCGTGAGTGGTACGAGCGGCGCTGCACTCTTCGGAGTGGTGTGCCTCGTGTTGCGGACCCCGCTGCTGCTGGAGCTGCTGCTGGTGCTGCGGACCCGGGCGTTGGAGTTGCTGCTAGTGCTGAGGACCCGGGCGTTGGAGCTACTACTGGTGCTGAGGACCCGGGCGTTGGAGCTGCTGCTGGTGCTGAGGACCCAGGTGTTGGAGCTGCAGCTGGTGCTGTGGACCCGGGCGTTGGAGCTGCCGCTGGTGCTGCGGACCCGGGCGTTGGAGTTGCCGCTGGTGCTGCGGACCCAGGTGTTGGAGCTGCTGCTGGTGCTGCGGACCCGGGCGTTGGAGCTGTCGCTGGTGCTGCGGACCCAGGGGTTGGAGCTGCAGCTGGTGCTGCGGACCGTGTTGCCGGTGTCCCTCCTGCCTCTGGTGTCGTTGCACGATCCCGGCCATACTTCGTTCCGCTCCTTCAGCAGGTTCTTGGTCAGCTCCCTCCTCCTTGTCCTCCTCCCTCCTTCGCGTGTCCTCCGTCTGTCCAGCTGCAGTCACAGTTACCGTCTGTCTCCTCTCTCCCTGGTCCTGCTCCTTACACTGGTCCGACTGGAGGTCTTACTGAGCGTCGTGAGCCTGAGTCTCGCCCTGTGTCGCGTGAGTCTCGTCCTGAGTCGCCTGCCCGCACTGCTCTCTCTAGTAGTCGAGTCCAGCGTCAGCGTCTTCCTGCTGTCCCAGGCACTTGCCGGATGGCACTTCGTCCGTCCACTGCTCCACAGCCTGTCCCACTGCCGTCTCCTCCTGCTTCCTCTCTTCCTGCTCTTGCTGACCCTGGGTCCGACTCTCTTCGTGCTACCAGTCCTACTGTCACGCGTCTCTTGGCTACTGTTGTCACTGACCCTTCCTTTGAGTCTGCTGCTGCGTCTGCCTTAGTTGCTGAGCTTGTCGACTTTGCTGCTCGCTGTCGACTAGACTACGCTGCTAGCCTTGTTGCTGAGTCTGAGTCTGCCTGTCCTCCGTCCGTCGGGGGTGATTGTGCTCTTGGCACTGACGTCCTTGAGGACAGGCAGAAGGAGTTTGAGTGCTTTGCTGCCGCTTTGCCCCATCTCGTGTCCATGCTTGTTGCCCCTGAGGGAGACCCGGATGCACCAGACATCCCGACCCCACGCTCTTACGCAGAGGCGATGGCCGGTCCCTACTCCTCTCAGTGGCAGTCAGCCATGGACACAAAGATGGCTTCCTGGAAGTCCACAGGCACCTACGTCGACGAGGCTCCCCCACCTGGGGCGAACATCGTCAGTGGGATGTGGATTTTCAGGGTGAAGCGGCCGCCGGGCTCTCCGCCTGTCTTCAAGGCGCGTTACGTTGCACGAGGCTTCAGTCAGCAAGAGGGAGTTGACTTCTTCCAGACCTTCTCCCCGACCCCGAAGATGACCACTCTTCAGGTTCTGCTGCACGTCGCCGCTCAGCATGACTACGAGCTCCACTCGCTTGACTTCAGCACTGCTTTCCTGCAGGGCAACCTGCACGAGGAGATCTGGCTGCGCCGTCCACCTGGCTTCACTGGGTCGTTCCCTCCTGGTACCCAGTGGAGCCTCCGACGGCCAATCTACGGTCTCCGCCAGGCGCCTCGTGAGTGGCACGACACACTGAGGACTACGCTTGCGGCTCTTGGGTTCGCACCTTCTACTGCTGACCCGTCGCTGTTTCTACGCACCGACACCTCACTGCCGCCGTTCTACGTTCTTGTGTACGTCGACGACTTGGTCTTTGCTACTGCTGACACTGTGGCACTCGCCCACGTGAAGTCGGAGCTGCAGAAGAGACACACGTGCACAGACCTGGGTGAACTGACAAGCTATCTTGGCTTGCGGATCACCCGGGACAGAGCACGCCGCACCATCACCTTGACTCAGTCACACATGGTGCAGCAGGTCCTTCAGCGCTTCCGCTTCACGTACTCCTTGCCTCAGCCCACTCCTCTGCCTACCGGTCACTCGCTCTCAGCTCTGCCTTCGGATGAGTCCGTAGAGCCGAGTGGCCCGTATCCAGAGCTTGTGGGTTGCCTCATGTACCTGATGACTTGCACTCGACCAGACCTTGCATACCCTCTCAGCATTCTTGCACGCTATGTCGCTCCCGGCCGTCACCGGAAGGAGCACATGGATACAGTTAAGAGGGTGCTGCGCTACTTGTGCAGTACGTCGGGCATGGGGCTAGTGCTTGGATGGCGAGTCCCAGTTGTTCTCACTGGGCACTCAGACGCTTCTTGGGCAGACGACCAGGCTACTCAGCGGTCGTCTCAGGGTTACTCCTTCAGTCTTGGCTCTGGTTCTGTTTCTTGGCGTTCTACTCGCTCTTCTTCTGTTCTCAGCTCCAGTTGTGAGGCTGAGATCTACGCCACAGCCATGGCGGCCCACGAGCTCCACTAGCTCACCTACTTGCTGACCGACCTTGGAGAGCAGCCTCGTTCTCCTCCAGTGCTGTACGTCGACAACAAGGCAGCCATTGCCTTGTGTGAGGAGCACACACTGGAGCACAGAACGAAGCACATTGCTCTGCGTTACTTCCTTGCTCGAGAGCTGCAGCAGCGTGGTCAGCTTCGCCTGCGTTACGTGGCCTCTGAGGCCAACACTGCTGATGTGTTCACCAAGGCGCTTCAGCCTTGTGACCATCAGCGCTTTTGCACTCTTCTAGGCCTTGTGCCTACTGGACCTCACTTGCTTACTTCTTGAGTCTGTTTGTACTGTGATCTCTATATATATACCTGCATGTTTCCTCTTGCTAGGTTGTGATCATTGTACCATTTGCTCTATTATAAACCTACATGTGAACTGGTCTTGTGACTACTTGCTTGTGCTCGGAATTTGTGTGGTATCCTTGAGATCCACCCTGAGCTTGTTTTGCCTTGCTTTGCCTTGACTGGTCTTGTGACCCCTTGTTCTCCCCCACTTTGCCTATGGGGGTGTGTCAAACATTATATATGTTGTGTTAGTTTTGGCTACAGTGGGTTAACCTATAGGGGGTACACAATTCTAGGGTTAGGTACTTGTACTGTTTTCACGGCTAATTCATTCAATTTCCTGTTCAGTTATTCCAACAGCGAGAAGGGCAGGCGTACGACAGCGGCAATGGCGAGGCCGCTACAACTGTAGGGCGAGGGCTCCGCGGCAACTGCAGGGGTGGCTACTCAAGAGGCTGCTGCTGCAAGGGCGGCTGCTGCAGTGGCGGCTGCTGCAGTGGCGGCTGCTCCAGGGGCGGCTGCTACAGGGGCGGCTGCTCCAAGGGCGACTGCTGCAGGGGCGGCTGCTCCAGGGGCGGCTGCTGCAGTGGTGGCTGCTCCAGGGGCGGCTGCTGCAGTGGCGGCTGCCCCAGGGGCGGCTGCTGCAGGGGCGGCTGCTGCAGTTGCGGCTGCTCCAGGGGCGGTTGCTCCAGGGGCGGCTTCTACAGGGGTGGCTGCTCCATGGGCGGCTGTTGCAGTGGCGGCTGCTCCAGGGGCGGCTGCGGCAGGGGCGGCTGCTCCAAGGGCGGCTACTGCATGGGTGGCTGCTCCAGGGGCGGCTGCTGCAGTGGCGGCTGCTCCTCGGGCGGCTGCTTCAGTGGCGGCTGCTCCAAGGGCGGCTGCTTCAGGGGCGGTTGCTCCAGGGGCGGCTGTTGCAGGGGAGGCTGCTCCAGGGGCGGCTGCTGCAGTGGCGGCTGCTCCAAGGAGCGGGTTAGGGCAGGGTGCCGCGGCGGGCAGGGGTGACGCCACGCGGGTCCCGTAGGGGCATCACGACGCACAGGAGCCGCGCCTCGCGGGTCCCGCAGGGGCGTAGCGACGAGGCAGGGGCGACGCGGCGGGGCCGCGACTGGCGACGGGCCGGGGCCGCGTCTGGCAACGAGGCGAGGCCGTGACTGGCGACGGGGCGGGGCCGCGTCTGGCAACGAGGCGAGGCCGGGACTGGCGACGGGGCAGGGCCGCGACTGACAATAGGGCGGGGCCGCTACGGGCAGTGGGGCGGGGCCGCGAAGGGGCCGCGAAGGGAGCCGCGAGGGGGGCTGCGAGGGGGCCGTGAAGGGGTTGTGAAGGGCCCGCGAAGGGGCTGTGAAGGGGCCGCGAAGGGGCCGCGAAGGTGCCGCGAAGGGGCCGGGAGGGGCCGCGAAGGGACCGTGAAGGGGCCACGAATGGGCCGCGAATTTGCTGTGAAGGGGCCGTAAAGGGGCCGCGAAGGGGCCGCGAAAGGAGGCCGCGAAGGGGCTACGAGGGGCCTGAAGGGGCCACGAAGGGGCCACGAAGGGGCCGTGAGAGGGGCCGTGAGATGCCGTGAGAGGGGCCGCTACGGGGCCTTAAGGGAGCGCGACCGGCCACTAAGGGCAGGGGACGCGACGGGAGGGTAGGCACACGGGGCGCGACTCGGGCAGGTGCGAAGCGCGCTACGGGCAGGAAAAATAATCGATATTCGGTGGGCCCTAGGAGACGTTCCCACTAGGGAACCTGCTCTATACCATGTGAAAGAACGAAGAATGTGTGCACTAGGAAACCGGTGGGTACAAGTAGGAAAACCTAAAAGTGTTGTACCCCATATTGTCTACCCCACTACAGCCTACACAGACTATAGTATATAAGTTTGACACACTTTTCCCAACCTCAGTCCCAGGCCCGTCACGCGACAACCATAGTCCATTACCGTTACCACTGTAGTTTCGCTATATAGTCTTCGCTCATGCCTTCGCTCATTGTACTCTTGCTTCGATAGTGTAGTACTCATTCGTTCACTCCATTGCAGTCGTAACACTTGGTATTCAGAGCCTACGATCTCTTCTCGGACCGTACCCACACCTTCGCTTCCCCACCATCTCAAATTTGGGGGGGGGGTAGACGTCTCTAAGCGACACAGCACCGCCGCTCGTAGTGCTCTCTCGTAAGCATGTACGGCCACGACCGAGGCTCTCGCTGAGCTCGCTCGACACCCCCGCCATGGCCGAATTCACGCTCGCCACATTGACGCAGAAGCACCTCGACCGTCTGGTGCGCCAACTTGAAGATTCGGCGCTCGAAATTGCGACGCTCACTGCAGAACGTGACTCCGCGCGTCAGCAATCAACGATGAACACTCCAGCGCCACCACACGCACCGACAAATGCATCTGCACAATCAGACGAGCCGATCGTCATCTCGTCCGGCACACCAACACAAAACAACAGCGTGGGACAGCGCTCAGGCGCAACCAGCGATGGCGCCGCCCAGCCGATGCCTGGCATGGGAGGAAACAGGGTTGCACCAAGCCCGCGGGAGCCTCGCGAAGCCCGTCGGCACGTGGAGTTCGCGGCGACAAGTGGCGAACAGGCCATTATGACACCAATGCCACTCAAGCCGCAACGCCCGCCCTGCTTCGACCCGAGCCAGCGTGGAGGTCCGACGGTTCAATCGTGGGTCTTCACGATGAACATCTTCTTCGACGCGAATTATGTCGAGTCGGACGCAACGAAGATTCGGTATGCCGTTTCGCTGCTAAGGGGCCCCGCCATGGACTGGTGGCGAGTCATCGTGACGTCGCCACGCGTCTACGAGCCACCGTCGCAAGAGTAGGGCCCACGGGTCCTGCTGTCACCTGGAGTTCATTCTGCGAGACCGCCCAATACAGCACGTGGGATGCGTGGTGCGCAGGGCTTCGGGCGCGCTTCGAGCCGATCGCGGCTTCTATTTCGGCGCGTCACAGATTGCGCACTTGGCGACAGCTCGGATCGGTTCAAGACTACACGAGCAGTTTTCTCGCATTATGCGAGCTAGTCGGCTACATGCATGAAGCGGAGCAGGTGGACCGTTACGTCGGAGGGCTGAATCTGGACATCTCGCACGAAATCATGCCACGCGGGCTCTCGAACTTCAACGAGATTCTCGCGCTCGCCGAGAAAATCGATATTTTACGTCGTCCGAGACCGGGGTCCTACTATGGACATCGTCCTCGGGGACTGATCGAGCACGCCACTGTACACGTTGTTGCAACGAATGCAGCTACCGCGCCGTTTAACGGGCGCTGCTTTGCTTGCAATAGGCCGGGCCATCGCAAGAGCGAATGCCCGGAGGAGCTAAGGCGCCGCGGAGCAGAGCAGAGGAGGGAGTCTCCAAGGCAGGGAAACGACAACAGTCAGTAGGAATCGGGCCAACTACTGACGAGACTGCCTGCTCGCCCAACCCCACCGACCCTCACCGAGTCACAGTACCGATTCATGCTATCGATCGGACTCGGACAAAGAAGGAGGGTACAGCGACGGATTGCCCAGTACTGATCCACGGGAAAATACAAGGAGCAGCAGTGAAGATTTTTATCGACGGAGGAGCCAGCCACAGTTTAGTTAATACCGCAACCGCACAAATACTGCAACTAACACTTAGCCATTGCTTACCGGAGATAGACGCACGCTTACTCGACGGCACGCCACTGGCTATACGGGAAAAGGTAGAGAGAGTCAAAGTCCGCTGCGGGGAAATTTCGGGTTTACAGAGGAAATGCTCGCAACGACACTGGATGGGCACGATATTTTACTGGGAGGTGATAAGCTGCGACGGTATAACCCGCGAATTGACCGGACGACGAGTAGCTGCACCGTGTGAAGTAGTGGTAACTGGGTCGAGCTACCTCGCTGGCAGCCGCCCGAGTCTTCAACGCTACACGTCAACGCCGTCACAATGAAACGGGCTGTCGCTGCTGGAGCTGACGTGTACGCAGTAGACATCGCAGTAGTAGAGGAAGCAGAGCAGCCGAGTGATTTCTTGAAATTACAGAAACTGTTGAAACGATACCGCAGGGTTTTCCCCAACGACTTACCGGAAGGACTGCCACCTCAGCGAGCACATGACCACCGAATCGAATTAGAACCGGGGGCACAGCCAACCGTACAGCGCCAGTTCAGACTGACACAGCCCGAGCTTGACGAACTAAGGAAGCACTTAGATGACCTGTTAGAGAAAAAATTCATCCGACCGAGCTCATTACCGTTCACCGGACCGATACTGTTCACACCGAAAAAGGATGGGAGTTTTCGCATATGTATCGACTACAGAGCACTGAACAGGGTAACAGTCAAGTCGCGGTACCCCATTCCCCGCGCCGACGAACTGATCGACCAACTGCGAACAGCACAGGTTTTTTCGAAAATAGATTTACGGGGAGGTTACCATCAGATTAGGGTCGAACCATAGGACTGCGCCAAAACAGCTTTCAAGACTAGGTACGGGTCATTTGAGTACAGTGTGATGCCATTTGGGCTGACCAACGCACCGACGACTTTTCAGATGACCATGGGAGGGGGCGTTTAGGCCGCTCTTAGATAAATGTGTAATGATTTACCTCGACGACATCCTAGTTTACAGTCAGGATACGCAGCACCACTTAGCAGATCTGGAAGCAATATTTCAGGTTCTATACGAGCAAAGATTACTGACCAAGGG